CGGGGCTGGGCTTGAGCTCATTTAGACTTACTTGGACGGGGAATATTCCCTTAAAATTTCAGCTTTCTAGCTTTTCTGGTTCGCGAGTTAGCGACACCCGCAAAAAACTTTCACGGACCCGTACGTGGGTATCACGCGGATAAGACCGCTCATTTTGGGGATGGGGACCCGTATATGCATGTAGACTAGGTTCCCAAATTTTCAGCTCTGTAGCTTTTTTAGGTTTTGAGATGAAAAATCGGTACTGAAGCCCGGCGCACACACAGACAATCTCTCGTCAATTTGCGTTTTCCGCACTACATAGCTGTAGAAAACCCATAAAAATGAGGGTGCTGATACATGAATGTTTCGCTGTTCATATGATTCCACACATGTTATGAAAATAATGGGATAAAGGCATTTACGTGAACTGATATCTCCCGAAAAAGAGCATGACTCAATTTTGGCACCACTCTACATGCTCAAACATAGCATTTGTAGCGAATAACGCTAAATTTAGCGATTTGCCTTTTAAAACAGTGTAGCATTTTTAGGTTGATTCTTCTGGCATTTTGTTCAAATTTTACGATATTTTTAATTAAATCTTGCATTTCTTTGATGAGAACCTCTTCTTTTCTGGCTAGATTTTGTTCTTTCGTACTGAACTCTGCCGCCGTTCGACACAGTTCCCTTCAGTTCTGAAGCTGCATAAAGCCGCATTTTTTATTTGATGTTAGGGAGCATCAAAAGCGGGAAGAAAAACGGAAAAACTAAACTGATTACCGCAAAATAAGGAGGGAAGAGCACAAAGTTCAAGTAGATGTGCTCTAAATTTACTCGTGGAGGCGACTGTCGAGCAGTGGAAATTAAAATCGAACTGAACTTGCCGAACTACTTTTGAAATGCTTTCAAGAAACGCTTGAATTTAACATATTTGGCCAGAAAAAAATCATCACCAGAGCGGCATAATAATGCCACTTCTCCGGATGAAAGCTGGATATTCGAACTTTTTCCATTCTGAACGTAAAAGCACATGCTGAAAAGCAACAGCATTCTGGTGCTGGATGCAACAATGGGATTTAACAGCGGCCCATGTCCACTTTGTCGAAAACTTAATCACAAAAGAACATATGTAGCCCCAAACGCAAATGATCTCTTTGCAGTGGGTCCAGCTGTAAGCCGCTTCCCTCTTGCCCAGAAGCAGTTATCTCTAATTGGAATACTTGCAATCTTGATCCTGTAAAAAGTGCTTGCACATTGTGTTCACGTGCTGTGTTGGCACACAATGACCGATATTGCATTGTAGGATATCTCAAAGCCGCACCGTCTTGTTCCCTAATCCCGCATAATCCTGATCCTAGAATCTGCTGAAGCGCTGTAACGCTGGATTCTGATAGCAGATTTTCATACTGTACAAAATCAGCCGCATATTTCTTCCTCTTGTTTAGATTGTGCACAGTTTTTAGCAGCCATTCTTTATAAGCAGCCTGTTTTTTGAGGATCTAGTGAGTAGCAGAAGTGCAAGGAAAGTGGTGCACTTTGTGTCTGCTTCGTCACTGCAGTTTGACTGTAGCAACACTTATACTGGGAAGACTGGGCGCTCTGCGTTGAGCATCACCACTTCGTTCCAGGACTGCCAAACACCTCCACCACAATGTTTCTGGTCGTCCAGGATTTGACTGCAACAATAGTTACATGTAAAGTGTGGAATCGTCCTGGCTCGTTAGCCCTCTCATCAAACGAACTTACTGTATTTGGAGGGCCGAAAGATTACGATCAGAGACAATCGATTGATATCGATGGTCATATTGAGGAGCGTCCTCCGTTTCATCCTCCCTATATAAACGCTGTTTTTTTTTTTCTTTTGAAGAATTCCCCGTAAACTACTGGAATGGATTTTCGGAAGATTTCGCACGAACTTTTCCTTGTATTGCGATGGGCTAAAATACCGTGTTGAAGCGAAAAAAAAGAACACCTAAGGCGAGACTGGCTGCGCGCAGCTGCACGCATCGCGCTCTAAAACTATCTCAGTTCAGTGACATGCTCAAGTTCCTCCGTCCCAGGAACGTTCTCAACCTCTTTTGCTCCCTCTCACTGGCGCATCCGGGCGACCGGCTGCCCGGCCGTGCCCAACCATCACCACATCCTGTTCGACGGTGTTCGCGGCTGGCAGAGTGCGCGCTCATCCATCGATTCGCTGTCTTCGTCGCTCTTGGCAGCTCCATTGATTGTCGATGCTTTGACCGTTTTTGTACCCGTGCATTTTCGTTTCT